TGAGAATATTGTAGAAAAGGCAAAAAAACAAATTCAAATAATATATATATATATGTATATATATATATATGATATATGCAGTGAGTTGGTGTGGATTCGAAGAGCACCGACTCCGTCTAGGATGAAGACTCTCAATCGGCTTCCTCGAGTTCCAAGATGGTGATTTGCTTGGAGGAGAAGGGTGTGTGCCACTGGTGTGCCGCTCTGGAGAGTTGAGTCAGAACGTGGGAATAGCCCCCATCAAATTTGACGGGTTGCGCAGGACTCGCTTTTTCCAACCATGCCAGGCTGGTTCGTGGAACGTCACAATGTTCATGTCCCATATGTCGGGATATTGCTTGCCATTTGCACCACTGCCGGAATCTGATAGGGTATGGCTTATGGAGGCACACTCAAGACCAATTCAGCATGATTCACTCCAAAGCCACGTCGCAACCAACGTGGCGCTGCCTGAAGTGGTCAAGTCACGGGATCGTCAGTGTCTCAGATATCCCCCGATTCCACTGGGTACATTTGTTGTTGCGCTTCTCCTCTGACTTGGGAGGCACTCCAGAGCAAGTTGGAATCTTCGAGCCAGCGCGACAGGTGGGGATCGCTTGAGGGAAAATCTGAAAAGAATCACCACGAATGGTTTCACACGCATTAAGATTCCAAGAGTGTTCTCGAGCCTCCAAACTCTCATTGCAACAGGTTTCACATTCTAATTCTAATCTGCCTCGGCATGTGGCTTAAAACAGATATAGTGCGTGTAGCCACTCGTTTGTTGAGGTCTGGGAGTCGCCAACAGCAGACTGGCAGGCCCCGGGCAGTTGCGCATTGGGGTGACAGGCCAACCCATGACCAATTCTGTTTAATAATCAGTGACTCCGGGCGAGTGAGCCGCCAACATGATAAGGTCCAGATAGTCGGATTCCCCCTGCTCCATCTTGCTCCGAATGGTAAGGGAATGATTGCCTTCATATTTTGTGAGAAAGACAAGCACCTCTTTTCCAGCTTGTCTCCTGACTCCAGCAAACAGGATACCTTGGTAATGTCACTGATATAATCTCAAGTCAGCCAATAGTTGGGATTCCTCAACTTACAACCCTTTAGAAGCCAACAAGACCCTCAGAAAACATGGGGCCATAGCGTTCATCTCACTGAGGTGCCATCAGGAGACTCTTAGATACCCCTCCAAAAACCGCGCCATCGGGGGAAGTCCCTCTGTTTCTCAGTGAAGAATCACCAATTTATAATAATCTATACAGTTATTGTGGATGGTTGGAAAATGTTGGAAACATGGGACACATAGCTATCTAATCAATCTAATCCCTCAAGATTTCAAGGTGCCATCAATTCCCCTGGCCCAGGGCCTTGCACCACCACCCCCCAGCGAGCCTGCGCCTGGCACGGCGGAGCTGCCTTCCATCGGCTCGCGAGGCATGGGCCTCCACACCTTTTGAGGTTTTCCCGGCGCTGAAAAATTGGGGTTGAACGGTTAACCGGTTAACGGTTAACCCAATTTATGGCCATTTTGCTAGGAAACATGTTCTTCTAAAGCGTAGGATTTGGGTTTCCCAAGTTTGAGACAGATTTTGCTGTTGACACACTATGATTTTGGGTCCAACTCTTTTCAAGAGGATTCAACAGGGGTATGGCCATCTCTGCAAAGAGGCAGCTTCCCCCAACAAAAGGTAGGAACTTGTGTGAATCGAATCCTTGTCAATTTGTGAACAACAGCGCATTTTCGGGTGAGGTTTCAGTTATAGGTGGATACAAAGTACAACCACAAGTTGTAGGGGTTATACCAGTTATATATCCTAATTATTCCTAACCGACCTAGGCTATCACCATACCCGGTTATACATGAGCCCTTCTCCCAGACGCCGAAACCCCCCAGGGCACAACGCAGGGGAATGCAAGCCCTGTGCCTTCATGTATGCGAAGGGCTGTTGCTTGGCAGAGATACATGTGGAATCTTTGAAATGTACATTGTTGGTCGTATCTTTGGCTATATCTTTGGTATTCTTTGGTAGTATCTCCATATCCTGACCAATTGATTAAATGGTAAACACTAAACACCACTGGGGAAACTGTTCGAGAAATTCCACAAGCCTGGCTGAGGTAAGAATGGAGCGCTATGTGCGTTCTGCCATTTGTGCGACCGCACTGAAAAGAAACGCAGACAGAAGGCGTGTCAAAACGTCAAAACAAGAATGGCAGTACAGCATCATTATCATTTAGATCTGGGGTCACCCGACTGTATGACTTCATTTGGAAAGCAGTTGACAACTGCCCCCCCTGCTCATCCTAAAAGAGGGGAGTCTTTGTTGACTTTCGCTTTTCACTATCCCTGGGTGCTGAAGCAGCATGAACAGAACTTTGGCAATTGCATAAAAATATGTAGGCCTCCTTCCAGCAAAATTTAAAGAACGATGACAAAAAAAGAATATGAATAGTTCTCATGTGCAGGAAGAAACCTTCGCACATTTACACAGTCACATCATTGTCACGAAAATCATGCTACACGGGTATCGGATTGGCGGCGCTGGAGGCCAAAAAGTTGATGTACACTGGGGGTGCCTGAAGCGCCGGTGTGCCGGTGCGCCGTGTGATCATGGCACTGGCTGAAACGGCGACCAGTGGCCCTGGACGAATCAATCGATGTGTCCACATCGCAACAGCGGAAATGGCAGAATGTGCCATTGACCGTCGCAGAGCTGGACAGTGCCGTTGCGCAAAATGAAGGGTGCCATTTCCTTTGGAGGGAACTCAGGGTACTTGAAAGTTGGAAAGGCTGTGTTGACATAGAATAAGAAGGGGTTGTCTTCAAATGTGAACGTAAGATAGTTGAGGTATTGAGCTACAATATTGCAGAATGTCATCCTCGGCACTGACTCTGCGCGTAAATCAACGCGAATACAACTCCAGTGAGCTGAGGGCAGCAGTAGCGAAATGGCGAAATGAAGAGAGATTCCTTCATCGAATGTGGCAAATCGGTTTGGATTATTTGCCAGAAGGCCAGATGTGCCATCATTTGTGTGCCAGTCCAATTGATTGCAACAGCCGTCGTGGTTTGGACTGTTGGCAGAGATTCATTGATTCATTCAAAAGCCACACAGTAACTGCGCCAGCTGACTCAAAATAACCCCGTTGAAGCTGTACCCTTCATTTCTTTCAATTTTCGTTCCACTTCCCGGTGATTTCCCCAAGTCTTGCCGGTCGCTGCGTGTGCTGCTTCCTCGCCGCTGCGTCAATGCATGTCATCCCACGAAGCGGATCGTCGCCAGGACTGGCAGTCCTTTTTCACGGTCGTTGTTGCTGCCCTTTGACCGCCACAACTGAGCTGAAGTGTCCAGCGTACCTCAAAAAATGGCTTAGTGGCTTAGTGTAGAAAATTTGCTTGTAAGATTCGGTCCCAGGGTCTGGATTGAGCCATCTGCATGTTACATTGATTGGTGTGTTGTTCCTTCTTTGGTATGGGGCATGATGATTCATCAGGGGGAGTTGGTCTGGTGTGTTCCAAAAAATTGGCACGAGTGAGATCTCCTTTCAAGAATTGAAGACCAAGAAAAGCTCGTCAACCTCACTGATCATTTGGGAATTCAACTGCAGTGTTGCCCTAAAAGATCTAAAAGATCAGAGTCAAGATTAGTGAAGCGGTGAAGGGTCATGACAAGTCAACGAGGGGACGAAGTTTGCCTCGTGGATTTCCGTTCAACGGTCAGCTGAACTTCTCAGGTGTCGCTCATTTTTTCATCCCTGCGAGTAGAGGCTATACCTGGAGCATCATTTTGAACTCGAACAATTTGGGAAAGCCTGTTTGATTGTGCAAATTGCAGGTGTTTCCCTTCGTTATTTCTCATAGATGTGTTGCAGATGTGTTTGTTTTCAAACTCTGCAGGAACCACGATCTATATTTTAGATTGGCCCATTTCTGTCATTTGCCTCAATTCAGGGCTCATTCACTATGGAGGCATTTTCTCTTAAGTCTTTATGGAAGGTGGAATCCAGCCCCCTTTCAAGAATTTTCTAATATGGTAGTTTCAATGGTTGAGCAACTGAAAGTCAAACAGTCCGGTGCCCCTGGTACGGTTCTGCTTTTAAAGAGCATAATGAACCCACCGAATCGTAATCTTCCTGCCAAGCCCAGTTTCATGTATTGGACCAAGGGTGGTGATAGAATTCTGTAAACTCAGATTTTCAGCTGACCCAGCCGGCCTAGCTGAACGCTTTCTCGCTATGCCTCGATGAAGACATACGAGAATCCTCCATGATTTTTGTGTACAGTCAGTAGTTCGTCGAACTCCGGGCATCAGCCTCTCGGCACGGAAAGTCCAAAAGAAGCCGCCGCAGTTCGGAAGATTCGGAAGCGGACCTGTCCAAAGAAGCGACATCGACATTTGCTCAGCAGGGACTAGAAGTGACTTGCACACTGAGGTCTTTCGACTCTGGAGCCACGGCTCAGCTCCGCAGATCCGGAAAAAGTGAGCCGAGACGATGGGATGGCCGCCGGGGCCACTTGAGTTGTGGCCAGACGAACGTTGAACGTTGATCTGTTTGGCGACTCAGAGTATTGTGGTTTCACCGGCTGTCACTTGTAGCCTCTTATTTCCCACTGATGAAGTCTTTTCCCGATACTACTTGTTCCAACTGCCCGCTACATGCTCGCAATTTGCCACTATCTCTGCGACGTTTTTCACCACTTCTTTTTAATGCTACTCTTCCCACTGTTTCTGCTCGTGCTACTGCTACTGCTACTGCAGAACTTGTATACAGCAGGAGGACACGCACGTATGTATATCTATATAACTCTACATACATAAACATGCACATGGACATATTCAGTAAAAAAGAAAAACATATTCTGTGTATGTGATCTGTTTATGAATTATATATTCTGTGTATGTGATCTGTTTATGAATTATATGATTATGTGCATCTCAATTCATGTCATACAGGCACGTTTTCCGGAAAGAAATCCGCACTGCAGCGACAAGGAGCAGCCACGCCTGACTGAGGCCCTGCAGCTGATGTCCCTGCACATGCTGCAGCGATTGGAGCATGTGAGCAGAGCATGCAGTGGCAGCAGGTGCAGAATGGATAAACACATATACGTATATATATATGCAGTATACACAATATAAATAATCCATAAATATGATATATATATATAATATATAATATATGATATATGATATATGGTATATAATATACAAAATATAAATTGTGTATATATATATATGTATTTGTCAGGGTCAAGATCTTCATCCTTCTGAATTTACTTTTCATTTGGACATCACGGATGCAACGTGATATGTATATGCATATGTGAATATATATATACACGTATATACATGCATGTATATCTGATATCGCATGTTGACATGTGTATATACTTAGATACATATGCATATATGTGTACACATGTATAATAGCTGTGGTAGAATCTGGTAGAGCCACGGCAGCTTGACTTCCATCTAGTGCAGGTGATCCATTGCCTGCGCTGCGTCGCAACCTGTCAGGCCTTGGTGCTACTTACGTCGCTGCTCAAGCGAAGTCAGGTGTGGAGAACAAGCAAATGCCTGAGATTACACATGTAGCTGTCATAGCTTACCAAGCTGCAGATTGACGGAATTTGGAATCACAGAGAACTCCGAGAACTCTGACGGGGTAGATGGCGCGGCAGGAGCCGAATATGGCTTGCTACAATGTCACCGTCAGTGCCTGCTTTAAGCGTGTCCTGGCAAACATGCCAAAGTGGTTTAACATGTCGCTTTGGGTGTGTAGCAAAGATTTTTACTGGGAGTAAGAATGTGAATTTCCGCCAAATTGGGCGCGTCATGAAATCATGTGGCATCAGCAAAAGGGTTGAGTTCTTGTGGAGATGTTGCTGCTGGGTGATCTTCAATCGTGGGATTCTCGAAGACACATCTTGAGTGGACAAAATTGTGAGACGAAAAGGGCTGAACTTCTTTGGCTTTCAGCAAAGCACACCGGTACAGTAAGTAGTTGCACAACGATTCAGCAACATTTTTTCCGTCTCGGAATCAGGTGGCGCTTGGGAACAGACTTCGTGGCTGCTGCAGCACCTGCGTAACAAGGGGCCAGCTGGCTGCAAGTCGAAAGGATTGTGGTATCCCAAAGGCAGCCGAGAGGCAACCGCCCCACTGGCTTCACTACCCCAGTGTCCCAGTGTGGATCACCAGTTGAACATGGGCAACGTTGGGCCACTGACGAGATCTTGCAATTTGGAAAGTCCCATGTGGTGATGGATCGATATTCGTGGGACCATTTTTGGACATGAACATGAATGGTAGCCATTCTGGTGTTCACCAGACTTCCAGGGAACATATTTTTACCAATAACCCCCATTGATGCCACTCGCTGTCCCCGGATGGAGCTGGGCAACTGGTTTGATGCTGTCCCCAGGCACGCCTTGGACCAGATGCACTTTGTGTCCCACGTGGCAGCTTTTCGCCAGTCCGATCACCAGGAACAGGCCACGAGGGTTGATGATTGGAATGGATTGAATTGGGTCATTGGTTTAAGAGTGTTGGGTTGGTTGAATTGGTATTGGATTGGGATGGATTGGGGTTGCATTAGCTTTGTTTGCTTGCTCTCTTGGTTTTCGCCCTGTGTGGGTCCGCTTTAGATTGAAATGCTCACGGTCTTTGCATCCATCCATGCTCTTGATGGTCGTAACCCATGCCGGCTTTGCCAGTTCCAATGTCTCGAATCAGGCACGCGTAGCTTATCGGAAGCTCTTGAACGGTGTGACAGCCTGGCAGTTTGACTTCTCTCTGGTGGTGATTTTCGACCGAAGCATTTTTTGGCCAACATCTGATCCTTCCTTCCACATGAATCAACCAGCCAGTCCATGAATCGATCAGCATTGCAAGTCCAACCAGGACTTGCCGTCGCCTGAGGTGTAGCGAAAAGCAGCCTTGCCGCCAATGATGTGGAAAGAGGTGGTAGATTTGAGCTTGGAATAGCTTGGAACACTGGAGATGTTTTGGCAACACAAACAATCAACGTGCATCACTTCCTTTATCGTGGATTTGGCCATACAGATTTCATTTCGGACGACGAAGCCACGATGATGCGAATCAACCACCATTCACGCACGTGTGTAATAAGCTCTAATTGCTGTTTTGCTAATTGAGGTTGACAAGTTGCGAGACCCCATGTTGATGCCAGTAACATGTGTCTTAAAGCTTTCAAAAGTTGATTCAACATTTTAAGAAACGAGTCGGATTCAGTTGTGCCTTTGCAGGAGCTGCTCAGATTGCATCTGCCAAGAAATCGGAGCTGACAACATCAAGCGAGGAAAAACCCATGTGAATCCATGGAATCAGATTTGATCGGATGTCACCTGGTCACTCTGCCAAATCATGAGAACCTTGCTGGAGATTTCGTCGTTTCTCTATGTTAAGGGATTGTTTGTGAAGTCTGGGTTTCCGCGGTGAAATAATGTTGCCAATTGTCTATCCATAAGAAAGGTGCCTCGGGATCTTTCAGAGTCAGCAGTACAATTTTGGCAGTTTCAACTCACCACTGGAAGTTGTCCATTTCTCCACTTGCTCGCTTTCAAGCTGCTTGCCTGCTGGTCAAAGTAGGCAAAACAAAACATTGGCTTCAATGGTGAAGTGATGTTTTCCGCACAGGTGCGTCAGCAGGTTTAATTTCAACTTCTTGTTATCGTCTCCAAATCTCCTGCGAACAATCGTTGAATCTGAGACTCTTAGTATGTGTTTTCACACCTTTACGAACACCAGAATCAAAGACCACAACAAAGACTAAGCATGTGGTAGCGTGCGTCCTAGTCTGATGCTGTGCATAATAGTCGCCCCCAAGTCACCTAGTCACTACTAGTACTCCAGAAAAGACACCATTGACCATGCATAGGCGAAACCTATTTCCACCATGCAACATTCGTGGGGACCGCCGCAGTATCCCGCAAGTCATGCGCCCTATGGCACCTTGGTTGCTCTTTGGCAAATTGGTTTGTTCCAAAAATCAACCGATTCAGACAACGATTCAGAACAAAATGGCTCTGAATCAATCTGGGTATTCCTGCGCCATTAACCACTTTACAGAGACCCTAGGGTTGCGCTTGAGGTGCGGCATATGGCTACCAGCCCCATGGGCCCCATGGATATGGTCATCCGCCGCAAGACTACCAGCCTCCTGTAGGTGCAGGCTTTGGAGCTCCAATTTATGGCATCTCGGTGTCGAGCTGATGGTTGGTTGCCTGGGGCTACCACCAGTGGTCAAAGAGGGATTCTTCAAGATCATTCTTACGACAGGAAGTCCAAATTTAGTTTAGGACCTATAAGTCTTCTCATCAACACTGGAGTGTATCTACAAAAACCACACACCAGCACTTCGATGTGACTACAAAACGTCTAGCAACTGGGTCAAGACTTGAGTAGTTCTTGTGTTGAAAAACACACGTTGGCCTATTTGAAGTCACCAACTTTCTAGACAAAGATAAGCTCAGACGGAAACATGCATGGCCCCACGTTGCTAAGGAGAGCCTCATCACGCTGAGCGGCACCATGCTCAGCAACACCATGCTCAGCAATACCACGCGGAGCCACACCATGCTCAGCAACACCATGCTCAGCAACATCATGCTCAGCCACACCATGCTCAGCAATACCATGCTGAGCCACACCATGCTCAGCCATACCATGCTGAGCGACACCATGCTGAGCAACACCATTCTGAGCGACACCACGCTGAGCGACACCATGCTGAGCAACACCATTCTGAGCGATACCATGCTGAGCGACAGCATGCTGAGCGACAACATGCTGAGCGACACTATAGCGAGCGACATCATGCAGAGCCACATCATCATGCAGATGAAGATAGGAGACATTTTCATACTGACCCGCC